CGAGTTCGAGGCTCGGGTGTGCCACACTTCGGGCTTGGGTATGGCTGGCTGACGACGGCTAATAAGCCAGAAATGGCCATTCCAGTCTCCCTTGTCTTTTTCGGTAATACCATTCTAACTAACGAACCGTTTTTCTGAAGTATCTAACAAAATATATTGCCGATAAATGTTCTCGAAGTATGGTGTCGTGTCCCCCACGTAGATGTCATGATGAATGAGGCTGTTGTTTCATGTCCGCCGTCGACAGATGGAGGTTTCAATTGCCAGTCCAAGAGCACATTTGGGATGCTTGAAATATATGTGCATGAGGACAGCTTAACCAAACTGAGTGTAGGTAGCCAGCAAGCAAATATTATTGCTAAGGTGACATATGAATGTACAATCACATCATTAACTAACTCGTGTACCGTAAATCGCATAATCCTAGGAAAGACGTCGTTTCATGGATTTTAATCCATGAAAATGTGGTCAATTTTGGTGCTCTCTAACGGTCGCAGCTAAATTGCGGTTTCCTGTTGTCCGACCATGCAGCAAAATACTAATTAAGCAATCGCCTGTAGCCAGTGTATAACTAAACGTCTGTTAGTGCGGGGTAGCGAAAAAAGCTGGGCATGATCCTAGTTCGTAGCCCTAACTGTCAAGGAATAATGTTAGGGGTTAGGGTTAAGAGTTGGGGTATGGTGTTAAGGCGTTGGGTTTATGGTTAAGGGTTAGGCTGGGGCTTATCTACTGCAGGTCCGGCTATGAAATATGATCCGACCGAAAATCGGTTAAAGACTGGGTTTGCAGCAAGGACGACGAACGGGAATTCAATCAAGATGGCATAACTTTTAGGATTACGTAACTTTCACACGTCTGCATATTACGATATTCTTGAAGGCTAACAAGAATGCCTAGAATATGCCTCTAAGAGGTCACCTGGCTAAGTAGGTGGGTTAACTCATGAAATGTCAGCTGAAATTCCGGAATGTTTGTCCGTTTCGAAAAGATTAATTAAGTAGGGTTGTAAAACTAATCGGCCTGCAGTACAAGTCTATAATAATTTTGTTACTACAGGATGCTGGATTTCTAAAGAACTTCTTTCCGGCTGCATGCATAAACTACACACTGTAAAAAAGGGACTGCTTAAATAGGTTGAGTTCTTCTCATTGATTGTTGATGCCCCTAAATGCCCAATTATAATTCTTGGACAACATGCATAACAATATTCATTCTTTTGCTCATTTGGTAGACAAATACGTCTTTCTCTCAATTTTATACGCGAAGAAATGCTATAATTCTGTTTACAAAAGCTTTTCCAATCCGCGAATAATTATGAAGCCGACCTGCCGTTACACGTGTAGTATGGCGATCGAAACTACAAGCCGCGCATTTTCCGTGTACGGACGACAATGCATTCCTCTACAGTGTTTAGAGGAGTCCAAATTGTTAAATTCAAAAGCCAAATTCATAAGTGCAGAAACATGAAATTTTCCGGACAGTCATTTCACCGTATTTAAAAGTCTCCCAGTTAGAAACTTTTTTAAAACCAAATTATGTCCCTTTTTCGAGTATGAACTTGAGAGAGGACGTAATTTTCTACCGAATGAGCGAAAGAATGAATATATCTATTTATATTTACAATAAAATATAATCGGACATTTAGGGGCATCCAAACTCAATGACACACATGTATGCTAATTAAGCAGCAATTTTTTGCAGAGTATAGTTTCTGTATGCAGCCAGAAGGAAGTTCTTTAGAAAGCCAGCATTTTCTGGTAACCGAATTATTATAGACTTGTACTGCAGGCTAATTAGTTTTACAACCCTGCCTAATTAACCCTTTCGAAACGAAAAAACATTCCGGAATTTTGGTTGACATTTCATTACTTAGAGCACTATTGCAGCTTATAATTAAACATGCTTTCGTACACATCAAAACATATTTTTGCCAGTTTACAGTTTTTGATTTGTCATCTCAGCAAGAACCTTTATCCATATTTGTTGATAACGGGGTGCCAACCCGAACCTCGACCGTTCTGAGTCTTCTGATGCGTCCAATGTCAAATAATGCCTACTGGGAGACAAAGAATGCACACTCTGCCTGCTTCAAGACTTTGAGCAATTTATACTGTCCACACATGCTTAGTATGATTCACCAATCCGAAACAGTGCTTTTAAACACTCTGCACTGTTACGAACATACACCGCAACGAACAGACTACGCGGATACACACGGAATTAATTTCGTATTGAGCAGCGGTGCTTTGTTAGCTTCTGAGATGTTCATTTATTCAACACTTCGCGGCGCCCTTAACCAACATTCTCCCTTTTAATTATTACCAGCCAAAATTCCTAGGAAATAGGCAAAAGCATTGAGATCCAGTGTTTATTGTAATATGTTGAATGTAAACTAGCCTGACATGGTATTTAAATCAAGGCATGGTAAACATAACATCCGTCACCCGATGTTCCCTCTTATACTTCTTGAAGGAATTCTCGAAATCGATGAATGTCAGTATTGGCGCTGTCGCCCCGGGTTTATTGGAGGGTGTTATCGTAATACGGTCAACCCTGCCGTTACTGGACTTTATCTCCATTGTTCTCGGTTCGGTTCCCAGGTGGCCGGTGAAAAGAACAACGTCGAATTTCAGCACACCTAAAAAGCAAAGGCAGACGATATACCGGCTGTATGAGCATAAATATCGTCAAAAACATTCTGTTGCAGTCGCTTTAATGTTATGTACTTATTTGACGCGCTTTTCACTTCAGAGGAGGCACGTACCGGTCTTTCCAAATATAGAGATAGCGGTAGGATCTCTCCGGGTCGTTGCAATATTTCCAGTGACGTTTACATGCTAAAATGTTGGAAAGGCGAAATGTTATATCAAATTTTATACTTCTAGAATAAAAATGGACAAATAAAAATTATTCAAGTCTACTGTCAATCTTTTACTTGCCGTATACTGCAAAATATTTTAGTTACGCTATGACTGCTGACTGTTCCTTGAGGCTCTGTCCACAAGCAGGGGCCATATTCGAATGATATAGAAGCAAATCGTATCAATTAATCGCAATCCTTTTGCCGAATTTGGCAAAAGTAATATTCCCTTCATGCACATTTGACGTAATTATTTACCCCGATATCCGAACTGGATACTAGAATATGAACGAGAGTTTCATTTTCGAGAATTTCTTTGGCCACGATAGACTTCGCTGTATAGTTCAGTGCGTCGTCTAAAACGGACATTTGGGCACGTATTCGACTCGTAAGGAGGACCATAAACGTGGTTAATTTATAAATGTAGACGGATTCAATATACATAAATAGAAAATAGAACATTCTCTGTTAATTAAATGTGTCTGACTGCTGGGCAGTTTCAAGTAAAAGGAAACTGCCAGCTGTAGGCTGCGGCCATAATTTAGAAAATGCCCTATTGCTGAAATAGTTTGAAGGACAAGTATTCTGCCACTTACATTCTGGAAAGCCAACCTTTTTATACTGAACTGCAGCCGGATATCGGTCAGGGATGTTCGCCGGTTGTACCGTAAATGTTGCGATGGATCCTTTGAGAAAACCGTATGCGACCAGCAATTTTTCAGCTTGAGTGAAAATTATAGATTGAACATTAAGGAATTCACGAGAAAAGAAGAAGCGAATGACTTATATTCTTATCCTCATGTATGAGTATCACCTAGATGTGTCTTTTTCTCACTGCAATATACTACCAAATCGCCTCATATGAAGCATTCCATTTGAAATCCGGTTTGATCATAAATTAACTTTCACTTAAATTTGACAGAAAACAAGGAAATGATCTGAGTTTGTTTTGTTTAGGTTAAAGTGTTGACGATCAAAAAATGAGCTCCATCTCTTACGTTTAACGATTTCCCAGCAGTCATTTGGCGCGACACAGTGCAATCCGTTGCTCGGATTGGAAATTTTCACGCCGTCCACGATCACTTGCTATAAACAAGACTTCAGTGTTAGTTGATGGACAATAGCAAATCATTGACTTCTTATTCGGCAAAACGCACCTCCACATGTCCATGCAGTTGTTTCGTGTAGACATAATCGCTGTTCTCTTTAAACTCCAAAGTACTATTGGACCCTGCAATAGTAAAACCTGTGATAAGCATTGGATGCTGATCCTTTGAAATGGGGCAATTTTAAGCTTATACTAGGTAAAGAAAAATAGCACAATTCTACGTGTTTTGATAATCCAAATCTTTAAGACTTCACCTTGTCCAAAAGCGCTGCACACGATTGCAAGCAGTACAATTTGGCGGAACATATCCAATTGAGCACACATGCATGAGTTTTTAACCCACTATTTATAAACACCACAATAGCCAATCGTTGTACGTGAGACAAGGATTGGTAAATGGCTTTGTGCGTTCTAAAATTAGGACCGTGTGAAAATAGCCACTGATTTAGGGTTTACTCTCAAACAATCGCATCAAATGAATTATTAAAATAAAGGATGTCTCAATAAGCAATGGAAGCCAGAATTTCCTGCATAATGGCACAGGCATGTATGAACGCAGCCAGAATAGCATTGAGTTCGTTTCAAATGTGGACATGGTGTCTTTCATTCACAAAGACCATACTTGCGTTAAAACCTACTGATTTTTCACACTCTGCATTCTTTGTTAGGTAAATGAACAAATAAGATAGGTGAATCAGGCCGCGTCAAGTAAAATACTTTTTTCATCTAACATCCTCATGATGATGGGACAAATACCGTCACAGCAGTTTTGTTGATTGACCATGTCTGGTCGAGCTGCATTAAGATTTATAGTGCTTATAATTTTAATGGCCGTAATTCGTGAATCCGAAGTAGTTTTTGGACCATTTGACGGGAGAACCAATGCTTTGTAGAAAAACACGCATCTTACTGGAAACACTGCTCGAATACTGTAACTAATGCTGCTTATCTTAAATTCAGAACCTCCCGCGGACGTGGACACTGCGGAACAAACTTGATGTTATCGATTTTGATATGTCGGCCATTGCTGGAGAAGTTTGTTTTACGCTGATTGGGCTTGTCAGAAATATAAATTTCAATAGGCGGCAGGATCAACTGACTAATTGCCCTCATCTTATATTCACCGATAAATATTCGATTTACCTGATGAATGTAGACTATATATGCGTTTGGGTGGCTTTATCAGTCATTAAATACGGAGTCAACCCACCTGCTGATGTTAACTGACTAACGATTATAGACACAGTTTGCCGTAAAATACCATCGAACATCAATTAGCGATGGCCGCAACACAAAATGAGCATAATAAAACATAATCTTTTATTGATCATCACGGGGAGGTGATTTCATAGTAATTGAAAGTTGATTTTCAAGCAGATTTTAGGACAAGTAGGCATACTCTGTGAAGCATTCTGCTCATGCTTATAGAATACACAGCGATATTTAACAGACAATTAGCGACAGTAAAAATAATCCTTAGATAAAACAGGAAAATAATCAAGGTGATTTGACTAGTTTTAAGGGAGAACAAAATTTCGCTTATGAATAGTCAAACACGTGAGACGGAGAAAACTGGTCTGCATGTTTTAGTGAATACGTGGTTCGAAACGGACATCTACAAGACATAATTCCGAAACGAATTAACAAAATCCGCATCAAAGTGATGAGAGAAGCGAGGGACCCAGACGCGATTAACCACAGTACGCTTAGAGTCCAGCCGTGAAGGCTGAGGCCTATAGAAGCGAACAGGCAGGAAGCAGTTCGTAAGAAGAAGATGCGATGACTAGAAAAATATGTGTATTGGCCAGGTGTTTCAGATCAGCACACAAACTAAGCATCAGAGACGGCAGCAAAGAATAGACAACCGTCTGCAACCTTCCCTAATGACGGTTTAGAGTGTGAATCCGAGACGCCAGGTTAGTAAACTTCTTGTTCCAATGATTCCGTCTTCTTCTTTTAATGGCTGAGGCGTACATCGAAGCGTAATGGGAGATGCTACACTGAGACCAATTTTCTGACTCACCTAACCACTAGCAGGTGGCAAAAAGACGATTTAACCAAAATTGTCAATAGACCGCTTGGGAACGGAATAAAGAGAGGACACCAAAGACCGTGAAATCGCCGATTAGAGGATCAGATCATGAAATCTCAGAGGTTAGAATGGATTCCTGATAGGAGTTGGCGATCGGCACAACGTAGGTGGCTTAAAGCCTGCGCCTCAAACTGGCTCCGTACTTATTGGAGGGGATTTATCAGATTGTACATCACGTACTGTGGAGGACACGAGGCGTGGACTGAAAGATCGAAAAAATCGAAATTTCTCACGAGAGATCATAAAAATCCACACAAAGAGAAGCGAATATTAGCGGATACGGCAATTTAATGGCGGCATCTTCAATCCTTGATTGTCATTTCTATATGTTACGGATGAATCACAAAATTATATTGTCGACTAACAGGTGTAAGGACTGAAATCCAAGAAAGATGTGAACTATCGTTGATGCTAATGGGGAGACAGAAGTCGGCTCTTAGTCGTCTAACGCATTTAAATTTTGGTAAGTCAGCTGGAATTTATCCGAGCAGTAAAATGCCTTCGAGATTAAGAGAGGATCATTTAGCTGCTTCCGTAACATTTTTAAGCACGTTTGGGACAGCAAATGAAGTAGCACGCTATTCAGACGTTCGTAGTGAAATTAGATCGAAAAGACCTGCTACGCATTGCGATAAATTGTACCAAAATTTGCATCATTGTTTGGAAAAAATGTGCCAATATAGGGTGCTTGTAAAGTAGATGTATTGACTCTCAAAAAGTTAATGGAAATTCTGAAATGCGTTTTCGACTCGAAAGGATTACTTATGTAGATTGGCATTAATGGTCACCATGCAGAACATTGCCATTATATTTCATTAATTTTAGAATGTCGACTTTCGCCCAAACATCTTTTCAGCGCCTGCAAAAAGTCACCCTTAACTATGACCATAAAATATACAATTTTGTCATTGATGTTCGATGCTCTTACAAGTTTCATTATGTTTTATAGGAAACATGCACGAAACTTTTACTTTTATTTTCTGTTGCAGAAAACTGGGTTATCTCCAAATTTTTACCCGAAGGGAGGATATAATTCGTCTTTAGACAGCTATCCTGATTCCCGAATACTTTTGATCGCGACCTGCGTTTGCCATTTGCATTCAGGGTATCCAAATTAGAAGCTGTATATTTTCCGTGTATAAAAAATCATGCAGTGCTCTACGGTATTATGAGGATGCCATATGGGTTTTATAAAATTGAGCGGTGGAGTTGAACTAGTAACTGCTGAGACGCGATGTTGCGTTAACCGGCATTTAGGCCTCATATAAATCTCATAATCGAAATAATATTTAGGGCATATTTTACACTTCCTCCGAGTATAAAATTCGAAGCTGACGTATTTTTCTACCAAATATATAAAATAATAAATGTCTTTACGTATGAAATATGATTTAATTTATAAGGATTTCTAAAATCAAAAAGTAAAAAGTGGAAACTAGAAGACACCAATTGATTAATGCATAGTTACTTTTTTAGAGTTCACAATGTATTTCCATGGGAAAAGTGAGGATGACCTGGTTTCTGGTCGAAGACAAGACTAGTTGAAACTGGTTTTACATGAAGATAATAACCAGAAGCTTCTAGATTTTAGTAAAGGAAGTATATATATATGCCAGTCAGTTTACGGAAAAGTTAAATCGCTTTCGATTATCTTGGCATTCAGTAAGGTCTCTGTGGTTTTTTCGGAGGGTTCGCAGAGGTGGCTTTCATTTCTGGGGTCACGCCCAGGATTAAATGTACATCAGATTAGGACTGTCGAATTTGGCGGATAGATTACCGAAAAGAACGCGCAAGTGAGACTCTGAGGTAACGAATGCAACCACCGTCACATTTTTACACGGTCTAAATCGGGCACCGCGGTGGGAATTGGAGAGTGGGCCAAGATTCTGTGGCACACAAAACTTCCGGGACAAACTCGAAGGCTGTAGTTCTTATTTGTGCCATTGCTGCAAAGGGACCTGCAGTAGTCAGAGGTGGATGCGAGAACCGGCATTTAATGGCATACTGAGTGAGTGGGGAAAAAAAATCATGTATCCGCAGAGGAAATTGTAAAAGAAAGATACAAATGTCATACTAGACACATTTACTAGTTCGTAACCACCACAGACTCTCAAGCAGAATATCTGCAGGACGTGATTAAACTTGAAAATCAGGACGGTTCTATGCAACTTGCTAAATAATAACATCAGTATATCTGCCCTAGTACGCGAGGTAAGTAGCGAGGATAGCGTAGAGGAAGAGACAAACCATCCGTAAGTTTGTGACTTCTGGAAAAACCCAAGCAAATGTATATCATAACAATAGTGCTATATTGTACAGCAGATCGTAACACAGTCAGCTGAGCAGCATGTGATCACAGGTCTAAGATATGCATCTTGGCGCAAAGACCCCTGCAGAAAAGAGCGTAGGCAGCTGTTTGGTTAGGCATGATATTTTCGCAATAAGTCACATGTTGTCTAGAATAGGCTGCAGGATGTAGAATGCACGCTGGCTGTTTACGATCAAGGGGGACAAAACATATCGTTTCCTCCACAGAAAACTACGTTTTCGATGACTATTGAATTAAAAATGCTGAATCACCCCTATCACCCCATGAAACTTCTACGGTATCGGGCGACTGTGTTGACGTCTATTACTAGTCCTACCTAGGCGCATAAGTGGTCTCATTCGGCACGATTTTCCCACGCGGGGAAACGGAAATGTTTTGTTCTCGTTGCACTGGTTGCACAACAGGCAGCCTTTTTGCCTTATCCGGCAGCCTGAACAGTAGGAAATTTGACTTGCCACGAAAACATCGTCCTTCGCCAAAAGCCACCTACGCACATTTCGCCAGAAGACTTCAGACCGCGATTCATCTCACGGATCCGTGGTCACGTGTTGCTGAACTGAGCACGCTACCGCTTATTATACAATAATACGATGTAATTGCGGAAAACTGCTTTTAATATAGACCGATTTATTTATTCGCAAAATCTGGATAAATGGATGCTGCCCCTCCTTCAGTTCGTTATCTTTATTGCTACCTAGTACGCCGACCTTAGATTTTCATGTGATATACT